GAATAAACACAGACTATGACACAGCCGCTGTGACGAAACCGTGGAGAAGACACATCACTGTGGAGAGCCGTTAACCAATATGCAAATGAGCCTGCAGTACCACTGCTCCACCCATATGAGCAGCAAAAACACGTTTTTAGACCAAATATTACAGATTTGAACAAATATGCACAAAAACATCAAAATTAGCACAGAAACAGTACTATATAACATTTTAGACACATTCTAGGCAGTTTATCAACTAAAAAAGTTAATTTTGGGGTAAGTTACTCTTTAAGACAGAAATAGTTTTTAAGTTGCAAAAAATAACCCCGTATTTGAAATTAAGAGGACGAAATTCACACAAAGGGAGCTAAGTCTTTGCATATTGTTTTTGTTGTGATTACATGGCTTAGAGGAGAGGCAGATGGTCCAGGCAGAGAATCGTGTCACACCCAATCTCCATCATTTAGCCAAAAGTTTATTATCACGCACAGCCCTGCCAATTAACCTAATTACAAACAGTTGCTGTGCTGTCTTAGTCAGCTGTAAGTGGGCTCTCACACTCCTGTGTGGTAATCTGCAGCGATCAGTGGGGTCGTGCATCATCCCAACGACATATGGTCGAGGTGGAGATTTAAGAGGAGCGATTAGTCTTGAGTTTATAGCGGACAAGTGCAGAAAGAGATGTGATTAAAAGTCACTTCTTTGGGATGAAACTCAATTTAGCTGCCCATTTATTTAGATTTTTTTTGGACAGTAGATGGTATTAGAAATCTCATCATACCAGATTTTGTGTTCTAGTTTGTTGCATTTTATTGTGCAGTTCTTTCAAGAGTAAAGAGTTTAAAGTTAAGTCTCACGTAAATTAACCAGTTTTTATATCTGTTTTTTTAAAGTCTCCTGTTTAACCATATTTAATTTAGATTTTAATCACATACTGTCAAGTATTGCAAGATTTGGGTTTAGATGAATACAAAAATGTGAATGTTTACTTTCCAAACAAAATATTTTGTTATAGATTACAATTTCAGAGAAAATTACTTTTCAGAACAGTAAACAGAATATAGATAAAATATAGAACAAATATTCTGATTCTTTTCATGTTCTTTCAAACTGCGCTCTAAAATCTAGTTCCTTAAGTAAAATACATGTTTTCAATTCCCTTTCTTTCTGATTATTTATATCTGTGCTAGATGCATTTTTGTTTATTTTGAGACATTTAAAGTTTCGTATTTAAAGAAAGGTTTTTGTAAAATGGGTTTTGTGGAAATTCTTTAACTGGATTTAATAAAGTTAAGCAAACAAGACAAATCATTACAAAAGAATAACAAATAATGTAACTTTAGTTGTACCAGTTAAAAAAAAAAAGTTTTTTTCTTAGAAATTTTATGGCGTTTAATGTAATTTAAGTTTATTAAACAGGATTTTGTTAAAAATTACTAAAGGTTTAACATTGGTTCTGGTCCTAAACTCTGGTTGCAGGTTTTTATAGAATAAATAAATGTTGAAGTCCTTACCTCAGAGCTGCTGTGTCCACTCTGTGGGGCTGTTAGACCTTCTCTTCACACGCTGAGCAGATTGAGAGAGATTTACTCCAGAGGAGAGCTCAGCTTCTCTCTCTCTCTCTCTCTCTCTCTCTCTCTCTCTCTCTCTCTCTCTCTC